ATCTAGTGGATTTCAAAGCATTTCACATTATCCCTGCTTACCACCCATGAGGGCATGACACTAGAACCAATTAATTAAAAAGATGAGCCTCATTTAGTTTTAATCGGTTGGAGAGTTTGCCGTATAAACCCCTTAATATTCCAAAACAAAGCTGTAGTCTCAAAGGCAATCTTTTGTACTGCTATTGTTTTCTGTTATCCATGCTCTGTCTGCGTAATGAGATGTAGAGTTATACGGAAATCTTTCCCTAGCAGGGTGGATGATTTAACCACTTTGTGATCCAAAATAAAGAAAAATTACTGATTAAATATACTGAAATAGCTGCTTCTATTACTACAGAGGCTAATAATTTTAACCCTGCTGTTATCTCTTGAAGCACCATCAGCTAATCTTGTTTTCATGGAAGTACATTTTCCTTTAGCTACACAATTATGATTAAGATGATAATTTTTTTCCTTACCCATTGTAAGCAGCAGCAATCCAACCTCCAGCAGCCACGATCAGAAATAAATGGAGGCAAAGACAAGCTTTTAATTTCCCCTTCCAAAGGACGCTCTCTTTGTAATGTGAAGCCACACGCTGTCTGTGACTAAAATCTGAGCCATCAGTTCCAGAAGCCCTAGGCCCATCTCGTGAAGCCATGACTGCTATAGAAAGCTTGATGGTAAAGCAAAATGCTTATTAAATAAACTCCGAACTGAAGGATCAAAACTTGAAAAGTTTTGTCTCTGACCTTCGATGAACTTCTCGTCGGTTTACGCCAGCGGCTTCTCGTAAGAGGTATGCGCTGGATACAAGTATAGTTCACAGATTATATAATTTCTTTATTTTGCTGAAAACGATGAGTTTTGTGTCCGACGAACTTGCGAATGTTTTAAAATCGGTATACAGGATGGAGGAGGGTAGTGAAAATAACGGAGATGAAGAGTCCTCTTCTAATGTAGACAAAAAGAGTGAGGAGGTTTCGAAAGAGAAACGCTCTAGAAAACATAAGCACAAGAAACACTCAAAGTCGAAGTCAAAGGACAAGAAAAAGCACAAAAAACGAAAACATAAGTCAAGATCACGCTCACAGTCTCGATCGAAATCACGGACACCAGATGAAATTGAGGCCGATTTTGTTCTTAAGAAAGACAAAAATCTTGACACCGAGGAAAAGGATAGAGAACTGGCCTCACAGAATGGCACTGCTGGGTATGGTAACGCTGTTCAACCAGCGCAGACCAACTGTGATGAAAAGCCTATCCAGGATGTTCATGGATCTAAACCTTCAGATTCCAAAGAAGAAAAGTCAGAGAGTTATTTTAAAAGTATTAGGTTAGAGAATGATAAAAATGACTTGATATCTACTCCAGTTGCTGCAAAAATAGGCCCGGAGAGAGATTTTAACAGTAATTGTTCAGGGAGTGATGCAGAAGATTTGGAGAACAAAAAGAGTACTTCATCTTCTAGGAGTAAGTCAAAGTCCCCAGAGTCTAAATTGTCTGGAAATAACAAGGAGAGAGACTCAAGATCCCATTCCAATGATAGAGAGACTAAAAGGAAATCCGGCTCACAATCAAGTTCTAAGCAGTCTGCAAAGAAGAAGAAGCCAAGGTCACGGTCACATTCAAGGAGCAGAACATCCAAAAAGAGATCAAGGTCAAGGTCACACTCAAAAAGGAATCGCCACAGAAGAACTGAATCCAAGTCAAGTTCACGTTCCCATTCATACAACAGTAGGTCAAGATCAAGGTCCCCAAGACGAAGAAAAAGATCATTCTCTAGGTCACCAAGACGTAAAAGATCACTTTCCAGGTCACGCCATAAATCTCCTGTATTTAAAAGCTTTAGAGGGGTTTCTCCACCTTCCTGGAAAAAAAATGTAGGATCTCTCAGGAGACAAAGGTCAAGATCATACTCTAGATCTGGTAGGTCACCTCCAAGGAGAAGGAGTTCTCCAAGAAGGAAACAGTCACGTTCAAGATCAAGAGGAAGAAGGTCACACTCTAGATCAAGAACTAGAACCCCAAGGAAGAGGACACGATCCTTGTCTAGGGACAGGAGACATCATAGATCCAGATCAAGGTCACACTCAAGAGGAAGAGGTCAAAGATCAGCATCTAGAGAAAGAAGGAGGAGTAAGAGTAGTAGATCTCGGTCAAAATCAAAGGAAAAAACACAACCAAGGAATCCTTCATCAGTACCCAATGTGCCAGTAACAGATAAAATATCTACTTTGATTGACAAACCAGTCGCAAGTGATCTTTCTGCACAGCAGACAAAAGTTGCACAGAGGGCTGGAGGGAAAACTATTGCGGAGCTTACTGCTTTCTGTAAAAAGCTACAGGATGAAAAGGAGAGTATAGACAGTGGTAACACAAGTGTAACAACTTTAGAAAAGAAAGAAGATTCTCAGCCAGTGGCACACCATCCATTTTTAATTAAAGAAAAGCCAGATATCACAATACCACCTGTTATCTTTCCAGTAAGTTAATAAAAGTAGTGCATGTACACCATTTTTTTTAGTGTGTGCATGTGTTTTATGTAAAACTGAACCTCAGGTCTAGATTGAAAGCACTAAAATTTTGATGTGTAGATATGAAAGGTAACTAGTTTGATGTATCTATTTATGCATGTGTTCTCTGATTAAGGTTTGAATTTAAATTTGTGGTCATTGTGAGAGAGAACTTAATCTTTCTTACTAATCTTCCTTATCTAGGTGAACAAGCCTATGGTCCCACAAGTAGGGTCATCCAAACCTCTGCAGGAGCAGTTTCCTGTGTCTTGTGGAAGTAAACACAGAGAAAAAGAGGGTGTCAATGATGGGGCTGAAATGGTTGCCAACATAGATGGCTCTGCAATTCAGACGCAACCAAAAGTAGAAGTATTTCCTCAACCTTCTGCTGAGGTATATAGCTGATGTTTTTGTTTCCTTTAGTTCAATTATCACTTTCATTTTTGATAATTCTGTTGTATGTACAAACTGTATGGGAAATATTCCCTTCTCCACTTCTTTCAGAAACTGGACATCAGTGACCTTGTTACTAAGCGAATGGATGCACAAAGGCGGCTGCAGACTGACCCTAATGACATTGAGGCCCTGTTGGTTCTCCAGGAGATTCAAATGAAGATGCAGAATTGGTGCCAATCAAATGTTAAGCCAGGCCAGTTTACTGGAGAGCTTGTGAAGAATCTTTTGCCAAAGGAAGATTTGCAAGGAGGCTTCCAGGCATGGGCCAAAAAGGTAGATTTCTTTGTGTGTGCATGTATTCTTGATCTTTTTAAAACCCCAAACATTTCTAATTTGTGTTAGATTCAATCAGAATTGGACAGAAAATATCCTTATGACTTACCTATAAAAGCAGATCCTAACCTGTAAGCATTCAAGAGGGGGGATTTATGCTTTTAAGTAATAGTTATTGTTTTTGTTGAACATGCACATGTCTACCAATAAATGCTATTTTAAATAGTATGCCTGTTGTTTCTGGTTGCAATGATATTGAATTGTCATCTTGATTGCAGGACATGTTTCACAACCTCTCACCAGTTTCTGGTGGTATCGGCATGAAGCTTCTCCAAAAAATGGGATGGAAACCTGGACAAGTGATTGGTAAAAGAGGAGAAGGTTACGCTGAACCTATCGCTCTTACTGTCAAAATTGATAGGAAAGGTCTCAGTGCTGGAAAGGAAAAGGCTACCAAGAAAGGTGCTCCTACTGTTCTGGACCTGCAAGGTAACTTGTGCTGACTGTTTTTTCACCAACTAGTGACATCGCCATCATTGTCTGAGTATCATCTGATGATAATCATTAAGAAATTTTTTAAATTTGTTTTAGTGGAGAGTATAGAAATGGTGTATGTAAAAGGGAAAGACTTTCTCAAAGTTGTTTGCAGTTCATAATGATTTGTCACTCCCAGCTTGGCATTGACATCCTGACATCTGGCAAATTGCTGTCACTGACTTGGGCTGTCGTCTCTGTCCATATCATAACTGACAGACCAAGTTTTTACCCTCTCAATTTATGGCCAAAGACTGAAGCAGGTGGGCCTTAGATTGAAAGGAGAAAAAAATGAAGGATCCATAAGTTATATAAATGGACTCTGAAGATAACTCAAGTGAGGTATTTCCTGTATCTTTAGGGTATGTCTGACAGGTTTTGGAAATGATTAGTAGACATGTATAATATTATGTAGAAGGACTGTTAAATGGCTGACCTTCGTAAAAAGTGGATTTGTCTAGTTCAGTATATCCCTTGAGATTAATTTATATTTAAGCATCTTCCTACTGTCCAGCATTTTTTTTTCTTTTTTTTCAGAGGGGGAGGGAGGTATTGGGGGAAAGGCTCTTTTATTAAAGCAATAATTATTTTGATTAAAATTATTAGGTAGCAATATTATATATTGTTTGAGTTTGAGTACTTTGTTGTAGAGGCATTGGAATTTGAATTGCTTGTTGACCAACCAAATTGTGACCCAAATTTCTGAGCATTGTTTCTCAGTCGGTGCACACTTCTTACATGTAGTTCTGCCTTTTATTACTTTTAGTTGGTTTTATAATCTTCCTTTATCCGTTGTCATCTTGTATCCCATTTTGAGAAATATCATGGCACTTATAATTTAAAAACATTTCTGACATGTTTTCCTTTACTCTAGACATCTCTCTTTGGGTCTCTTGTGTAAGGTTGTATTAATAATGTGGGAACTTCTTGTTTTCACAACAGTGATAGATTGAGAATTGGGGTTTACAACTCACAATTAGATTGTATTGTTTAGAAAATTACACTTTCTGTAATCAATGAGTCATTCAATCAAATGCTAGTCAGAGATTTGATTTTGCATCCAAGGCTATGGCATTTTGCAGACTGTAATTATATTCTTGCTTGTTATTTGGTGATGGCAACTTTTGCTTCAGTTCTGATTTTGTCACTGTTGTACTATTCGCAGTAAATTGTTTATCCAGCTCACACATATTAGAAGATTCCAATAATGGTCACAGAGTGTTGTCATACAGCATAGAATGGCCCAGTGAATTGTGCCATTCTATGCTAATGCATGGAAACAAATAAATTTTTCCCAGCAGTAAAAGGCATCGACCCCTTTGAAATGAAGCCTACATACAAGCAATTCAATATGCAATGCCTCTTGATCCGATGTTGAGAATTTTAGCACCACAAGGAGATTGTACCATCAAATGATGATCACACAAAGACTTATTTTTGATGACATCAGGTAAATATTACTGGGTGTGTTTTGTGGCTGGATACCTTCATTCTTGAACAAGTCCTGACTGAAGTTCAGAACCCTTTTTTTGAAACTTTTGTGAGTTCTAAAATTATGTTGACTCACTAGTATAATACAAATGAGTTACTCAGTTTTACTTGCAGATGAAGCAATTTTGAATGATTTTCCCTGATTTCAAAAGCAATACTACACAATTCAAAAGCTGCATTTCTGAGAAGTCAGCATAGTCCTCCTAAAAATTTAACACATTTTATGGTATATGTGTATTTTTTTTTTGATGGGAGAAAAAGGCAGTTGATCTTTAAATCAAAGGAGAAGTGAATGAAATTAACTTCATATCTCATTCTGTCACCATTAATTATTTAAAAGATGTTTAAGAAAGTTCTCAGATAAAGCAGGCTAGTTCTGAAATTCAAAATTTAGGGTTCATTAATGAACATTCTTGACACAAAATCACCCAATTAGTTCTTTCCAAATATGGGGAGAGTGCTGGAGAAATCTTTGTGAACATCCACTTGTCAGATGAAAGGTTTTCGCACAAACTTAAATTAGTTGCCTTCAGATAATTATTCCTTGGGGATGATACCTGTTTTCATGATGAACAAGGAGAAGATGAATCTGTTCAAATTTGATTTTCTAGCCCATTTGATGCATGAAGATCAAAGTAATCTTAGGACAATAATTGGAATGGGATCCTAGTCATCCAAAGGAAAAATGCAGTCTAAGAAATGGGGATCAGGGTTAGTTCATCCTTATGATCTTAAAAAACAGGTTCAAGGGATCAAGTCCCTAATACATCAAGTTTATGATTTTTTTTCTCATTTTTTTAAAATTTTTTTTGGCAAGTTAAAAGGAGCTTTTTGTAACAGAAGAAACTAGAATACTCATGAAATTGTGTCCTAAGATAATGTCTTGCTCTTCAATGAGGTAATATTATTTGATATTTCTTTCGCAAAAATCAGTTGATGACCACTTTTTCTCCAGTCCTCTCTTTATTTTTGAAATGGACTGTAATGGAAGGTAACTATCCACCAATAAAGCACAGGTTATTAATTAAAAGCTTCAAGGCATTGTTACTCCTATATTGTACAGGGTCAATACAGGCCTTTTGGGAGCATAAGTTTATCTTCATTGGATTGAAACTTTCACTGTTGCTGTTTTGGTGGATAAAAATCTTTCTTTCCTTGGTATCTTCAACACTACTTCTAACACAGGAATTCCTGCCAAGAGAGAAACTGAAGAGGATGTTTCAAAAATAATATTGTAAGCAGGGGACAAAACTACAGATTCCAATTTCAATACTTGAAAAGCAGGCTAAACCTTTGCAGTGTTCTTTGTTCCCTCAGATGTTGCTTTTGAAGAATGTAGTGTCTTGCAAGTTACACTATAAACTTTTCCTAGCCTGTTAGTTGGCCCTCTTGTGACATGAATGGAGCAATTGTAAAGTAACAGGGAGGCTGCTCATTATTTGTGCCAGAGGCAGAGGAGACTGCAGTTTAGCCTGTTATTGTCGCTATTGCTTGTCTTACATTTTGTGTAGCTCCATCTTTAAGAGAGTTGTATCAAAGTGATGTTCATGTTTCCATGACGTGTCTTTTTCTCATAAACTTTTTTTTCAATCGTACTTTGCAGGAAAGCATCCTGTGTCTGCCCTGGCTGAGTATTGCAGTAAGAGAAAATGGCAACTGCCCGACTACACTTTAGTCTTTGATCATGGCCCTGCACACCATAAACAGTTTCTGTTTAAAGTTTTAGTGAACAGTGTAGAGTACCAGCCTGCAGTGGTGTGTGGCAACAAAAAACAGGCTAAAGCACAGGCAGCTATTTTTGCTCTGAAAGGTCTTGGCCTCATTCCTGAAGATGCTGAAATATCTGCAGTATAATGCAGGTTTTTTGATATACATATATGAGGTGATGGGTGGATATCTATCACTAAAGGATTTTTGATGATTGCATTTTGTTCTAAACATGACTGTGCCATGTGTAGATGTTCTAAAGCTGTGCTCTGTTGCACCACCAGTCAAATCACTTTTACAGAATAACTTTCTTAGTTTCTTCCTTTCCACCTTTGTCTATCAGAACCATGGCCTTGAACTTTGTTACTTTCCTTAGAACTGTCACTGTTAATCAGTTAGCCTCAACAAAACTTTATTTGGTCAAATTCTGCCAAACTAAAAATTGTAAGCCTTTGTTGTCAACTTTGTCCACCATCTATTTGTGAGGTTCAGCTAAGAAAACAAACACCTTTGAAACAGCAATGTTACTTCAATTATCACTCAGAGTTTTGTCATCACAAACGGTTCAGATGAGACTTTTTAGTTCATAAATCCTACATCATGTTTGTGTTAAGAATGATTGTCTTTAATGCTTATAAATAAAATAAGTATATACTGAATATCAATGGTATTTCCCTGTCAAAACTTCTTTGTAGACTTACT